CAAAGAAAAGACATCATTTGAGGGTTTGCATATCAGAATAAACAACAGTCAGCTGTTGTTTACGTAAATACATACTTTGGAGCCATCCGCTGCAAGCTGGTCTTTAAGTGCATTTTGAATGTAGTTTTTTTCGTCGTTCGATGTGAAGAAGTTCTTTTTCGGAGTACTCGAACCAAAAACCCACCAGACTAGGACCCAGACTCCCGTTAGCATTCCTGAAAAATAAAAGTCTTTTAAGTTTTGTTCAGAACAACGGCCCTAGTAATGCCTCTCGCTTTCAGCGTTCTGTAGATTATTCCAGCACTAGTATCCTTCGGCTATCCTACACTGTTGACCGAATCGGATCATGAGCCAATCCAAGCTCAAGAATGACGCAGGGATCAGCATGAAAAAATGCCCTTGCATCTGCCGTCGTAAGCTGCAGTGAGATACAATACGTTCTCCACATCTGCTGCTGCAGTCATGAAGATCGGCCATGAATTCACGGACCAGCAATGGATGACTGAGAAAATATTTTGTACCTTGTACTCTGATTGTTCACCATAGCACTATGGTTATAGACCGAGAGCGATCGATAGTTGTCGCACAACAAGAACCCGTTATACGCGTGCGGAATGCCACCTGCTTTCGGCAAAGAGCAAGCAGTAGCTATTGTCCACCTGATACCCCGATTCCAAAACCAAATCGATTTCAATAATAAAGTATTTTTATGCAAATCCATTACGAATATGAATAAATATCGTGTACAACTATAGAATTAATGTGTGATTGCGAACTCTAAGTGTATTTGTCACTGAAAGTTGATTACTTTGCTATCGTGATCAACTTTCAACATGCGATTATTCCAAACTGGGCCGCGCCTACTGAAATTTGATAATGAATTCGTTATTATCTGCCTTTAGCCAGATATTCACTGGCACTAGTGGATGAATAGCTTGCGCTTGATAGACGGCTAGACTGAGGCAGATATTATTCCAGATACTAAGACAAGATTTCGTCTCATGTGTTTTTGTATGTATTGTAAGTTTATGCCTGTTGTCAGACTGGATTTGATGGATTCTGTTGTTTACCAATGGGAATTATGAAGAAGATATTCAGATAAAACACTCTTCACGAAGCCACAAGAAAGAAGGCTCATGGATTCTTGGTTCAGTTACATAATCATGTCTTGGAATTTAACTTTTAGGCTTGTGAGACGGCAAAAGATCAAGAGAATTGAATAAATTATCCGAAGGTGCTTTTCCGCAATCCAAAAAAAAATAATCGGCCTTGAATATTGATGAAAGTACATTGCAATATCGCACAATGGTTTCAGCCAGTGCTGAACACTGATAACAATGCAACACATCATGTATTTTGTCATGAATGAATCCGGTCAGTCAGTTGACTCTGACAGGACGGAGGTCATCGAATTATCAGTGGACAAATGTGCCTTCTTCCAAATGTCCTCTAATTTTGGCATATTTTGAAAGTCACAACGTCAAAATTCATCTGTAGCAAATTTTAACTTCAACTGGAGCCAATTGAACTGTAGTAACCGACCGACCTCACTATTATTCATAATTGCAATGGTTTAGGTTTTATTCCCAACCTAGTTAATATTAACGTGTTTTTGCCAAACCTGTAGCATAAAAAATAGATGGCCAGCCTCCGGCAAATCCGTGTTCGCACAGGAAGCCAGCGGCTGCGAGGCAGATGATGTTTCCGGCTTGATTTCCTAAATTAAGCAAGGTTTAAGTCGCCGGCAGTAGTCGATATATTGAAGGATAAACGATGAAATACCTGCAAACGAGATGCTGAGCAGCTTGCTGCGTTCCATTGGTGGCGCCCAATTTGACCATAGTGTCATCACCGCAGGGAAGAACACGCCCTTAAGCGATGCAGTAAATTTCTGTGTCATCTTTGGAAGCGAAGTTAGATCTCTTTTGCAGGGTGAAATTCAAATTTTTGCCGGAATTTACACTACCGCTTCGTAAAAGTTATTGCCGATGCATATTTAATATAATAATCTTCAAGCGGTTTATTTCGCATTGTGTGGGAAATGACAGCGAGCCTTGGAAACGGACGAGGGGAAAACAGCGCAACGAGGGAATGGCTTGAACTTGCTGTTGCACCCTCATGTGCAAACGACTGAGTACCATGCGAAGATCTGCAGGCAGAGCCGACCAGAAAATCAAAC